CAACCAAAAACAGCACAGAGAAAATAAAGATAACAACAAAGGAAAAAAGTGCGCCCACAAAAACACACACATATATAAATATATAATTGAGACTTACAAAAAATCTAAAAAATATTTCATTTAACAAATAAAATAGTACGCACAAAACAAATACTAATAAAGCGCAGGAGAGGCCTGTCTGCGTGGAACGCCGCATCGAGGGTCCTCGTCCCCGCCCTCAGCACAGCAGTCACGAACACCCCCGCACCCATTGGGTCACGGCGACTTCCCATCGCCTGCCCGCATCAGAAGACGCACGTGGGCGCATGCGGTGCTGGGACTCGTCCCCTCCCTCCAGACCACCTCGCCACCACGCGGTTGCGCAGAGACTCATTCCCCCAGCATGCAAATGTCCGTTAAGCCACGCATCGCAGGCACAAAAAAAACAAATAAACTCATCGTCCGTTTTTCAAGGACAAAGAGAGGAGTAGCGCAACAGTTGCACGATGCTATTGTTACTGCAGTGCTGCGTCTTGCGAGTGCGGGGCCGACGGGCCATGTGCACATCATGACCCTGCCAAACGCTGCTCGTGCATTTTCTTTTTCTCGTTTTGCTCGTGTTTTCTCGTTTCCTCAAATAAATATGATGACCCGTCCGTCGGCCGCCATCGCAGTGCACGTCCGCCCCGCCACGTGGAGATGTGGAAGAGCGCCCCGTCGCCCGGAGACGGAGCTGCAGCGGAGAGCGCAAAGCACAACCGCGTGACGCTGCTGCCCGATTGGGGTGCGTCCGCAGTGCCGCCCGCCACACCATCCACGCTGCCCAATAAATTTATTGGCGGCAGAGCCCCGGAATCAGAGTCGCCGCGGCCGCTTCCTCGGAACCTCGCCCTCGTCTCCCTCCGCATCCTCCGCGGATGTCGGGTCGTCCGCTAGAGGCGGGTCAACGACCGGTATTGGGTGGCTGCTGGTGTTCGGGAAGGCGGTGCACACATCGGCGTATTGGGGGCACACAATGCTCCCACGCCAGGGACCCGATGGCGGCGTGACGGTTTCACCCTCCTGGCACTCGTGCCACGCATCGTCATCAAGAAACCGCACGCTCAGTGTGCCGTCGCCGCATCGAGTGTCCACACACACATCGCCAATATATTCGTCGTCGAATTGAAGCTCCTGCCCCTTCACGCACCGCGAGTTCGGGCCAACAACACAGCCAAGCATTGCGGAAGGATTGCCGTTGGTGCACCCAGTATTAGGATACTCCTCAACATACGGACATCTGCTCATGTAGAGGTCATCACCGCCAACTCGGGGATCAGCGAAGTACCGATACTCCTCTGGCAGGGCTTCCTCGTGCCTCTTCAGGTCACAGGATCCCAGGGACAGACGGTCGTACGTGCAGAAAAGCCTTTCTTCGTCGTCGAACTCGTTGCAGAACAGATCAGGGTATTCGGTGATGCCGTCGGTCAAGCACTTCTTTTCCAGCAGCCCACAGCCAGAGTTGTTGCCCCACCACAACATCTCCGCCGCACTGTAGTTTGCCACATAAACACCCATGTCCTCAAATGCTGCAAGCGTCAGTGCCGAGTACAGCCCAACCTCCATATCACTAGTCATCATCTCGTTCTTCACGTTGCGCTTCCTCCAATGCGACAGTGCAGTTCCATAATCACCCTCGTCCTCCAGCTCAATGCCCTCAAGCGTGGGGCAGTTGTGGTACTGACGCGCCATCGCCTTCGTCTTCGGCGTTGAAATCACCAACACCTTGGACATCCCGCGCACGTTCGGGACCTCGGAAATCATATTTAACATCAAAAACATCTCCCGTACAAACCCAAGGGCATGCCCCAACTCGTGGGCCGCTACACGCACGTCTCCATTCGTCACCGCTATTTGGCTCGGGTCAAAGTTCACGGCAGCAGCAAATGGACGACCATCATCCAGCAAGAAGCACGGAATCGCCCATGCCCTTGATTCAGAAGACGGAAAACCGTTGGCGTAGATAATCAAGTCGGTGCCAGCCACACCCACCGTGTGGTGCTTGTGTGGGATGGTGAAGTTATCGCACATCCCCAGACCGGTTCGAGGAATGAGGACGGGGCGCGTCACGGGCCTCACGGAGAGACGCTCCGCGTGCAGCTGAATTGCGGCGGGGAGAGTTTGCCTCAGAATAATGCTCCTCCTCTCCTCCGTCAACACGTCGTCCGCCCCGCATGTTATTGCGCGGCCGTCGTGGTCAATGCGCAGATCCCCCGCCGCAGTGCAGTGCCTCAACGGGTCGTGCATGTCCTCCGCGGACACCTTGATGCGGATCGGAGCCCAGCCGTCGTCCCCATCCTCGCTGGCGGCGGTATACGCCTGCACGGCGCCCTGTCCCCGGCGCGGCACCTCACTCACCACCGCAGCCGGCAGCCGGCCGTATTTCTTCATCATCGCGTCAAACCCACAGCGGTGCTTCACGGCGGGATCAGCGGCAACGCAAACACCGGTGCAACACACCACCATCATGAGCCACGGCAGCAGTGGCAGCGGCGCGGTGTGGCGTGGCTGGCGCATGGCTTGGGGACAACGTGTCTGTTCCTGAGGTGCGGGCGGCAGCGGTGTTACTAGTATTGTTATTAGTGGTGGTAGCACAGGCCTTGTCTGCGGGGATAAAAAAAAAAAAGGGAAATTTTAAAAAAAATTTTTTTTTTTTTTGCAAACACAACAAATTTTGACTTTATTTGCTTACTGTTCGTTCTTGATGATGTGTTTAATTCACACACGACAATATTGTGATCAATTGGTAAAATTAACACCAGTGACAAGACTCTGAAAAATTTTGCGTTGTAGTAGAGTACTCTTTTTGTGGTTTCACTAATTGCTGCATCTGTGGAGCGTAAAATGGCCGTCTCAATGGAAATAATGCAATTGTATTTGCGTGCAATGATTCTAAAGAAAAATTTTAGGTGTTTTGTTCCACTTCATTATTTTCTTATTTCTAGTTTATTGGTATTCCTTCGTCCTCGCTCGAGAGCCAATTGGTCGAGGCATCGTAGTTAACTTTGTGTTGCATTCAGCCTTTGGATACTGAAAGGAAAAAAGAAATAAATGGTGATCCATCCATAGAGTCCCCAGAAATGTTGTGGAAATGGAATCAATAGCGCCTCTACCGTATACCACAAGTCCATTTCGCTGCCCTATCAAGCCAAGATTGCTTTCTTCACAAAGCTACTCTCTCGCTCCCTCTCTGTATAGTCACGTTTAATGGTCCACAAGAGTGGTTGGTTTCCTGTATGAATCTCATGCAGACAGAGACGGTCACACGAGGTCTCATCATGGATTGCACTTTTTTTTTTCGTTTTTTCTCATGTCATACGGCTTATCGGCTGTTGAGGAATGCAAAAAGTGCCGCTTCTTCCTCGCGGATTCTTTTTTCAGTGGTCTCCAACTCATTATCTACCGCATTGAGCAAGGGGATCTCTTTTTGGTTGTTTGGTCCAAGGGCAGTCACCGACGTCGACACAGTGGCTGCAGGCACAGTCGCTGCAGGAGGCGGAGGAAAGAAAGGTGATTTCGCGGCGTTGCTCAAAGAGTTAACTTCGTTCTGAATCTCGTCATCACGTTTACAACCCTTTTCATCAACAGCCTCCTTTTGTAGAGGGGAAGATACATGCTCCTGTTCATGCGGTGTTTCCCTAATGTGAGCCAATGAGCCGGGCAAGGACGTTTCCGTCGAACGCTTTAATAGTTGATGCTGAAGTGCGTCGTAGTCATCCGTAGCCATCTGCAAAAGTGTGCACATCCCCACATAACTTTTATCCATGCTCTCGTACATACTTGAGTTCTCTGCAGTTAATCGATTTAGCCGCTGGACTTCCTCCAGTGCGGTGGATAACTTTGACTCCAGCTCCGCAACCCTCTTCCGTTCTGTTTTTAGTTGCTTTTCAAGCTCCCCAATGCATGCAAGTTTCTCCTTCTGAGAAATCCGCAGCCGATCAGTTTGAACGCGGTAATATTCCTTTTCACTCCACAGATCCGCTCTGAGTTCTTCATCCCCTTCAACGGGTGGCGGTTCGGCAGAGAGTCGCAGTTTGTTCTCCAACTCTCGGCGCCTCTCCTGCTCGGTGTTGAGTGCATTCAGCACCTCCGAAAGACGTGTATGGGTTTCCTCCTCCTTGCCACTACTCTCGCGAAGCTCCAAGAGCAGTCGAGCATTTTCCGCCGCCATTTTTCTCTTCAGCTGCTCCTCGCACTGGAGTCGACCCTCGAGTGCCTCTTTGTCTAACTGAAGACGCTGAACGGTGAATTGAAGCGCTGCCATGTTCGCGTTGTGGAGTACCTCCCGCCGCCGCGTGTCCCTCTTATCCGCGTCAATCCAAAGCGAACGGGGGCTCACGTGGGCAGAGGTGGTGAAAAGAACACCATCCACCGCCGAGGAGCCCAATTGCCGCTCCGCCTCGGCAAAAGAGACATCGCCAACGCATTCTTCGCCTTTGGAATGAGCGCCCAACTCCGACCCCTTCATCAGCATTCCCTTCAGGACAACTACCTCCATCTCAAGGCACGCAATTTGTTTCTTGAGGTTCCTTACAAGTGCTGACTCCAGCGCTGCGTGTCGTGGCGGGGGCTCGACAGCACTGACAGGGGCCGCAGATTCCTTAGCGGCGGCGGTCACTGGAGGCTGTTTCGCTGACTGCGTCCTCGCCCCTTCTCCTAGCCGAGATGATTGAGAGCGCTGCATAAGATTGACCGCTCGTTCCTTCTTCTCCCCCGCCTTTGCCTCTCCTACGTGCATGCGTAAAACAGCACCGTTCATCGGCACACACAGACACACACACACACACACACACAAAAGTCAACAAAAAAAAAAAGAGACAAAAAAACCGATTAACGGCCCACACAAGAAAAAATAACCAGCAATGAAGCCAGGACAACTTCGCAGACCATTTTTCCCCCTCTTCCGGTGCGGAAATGAAGGAGAGAGGATCTGTAAGCTTAAATGGAAGCATTAAACAAAACAAAAGAACAAATGTATTGCAATTGGCGTGACGACGCTGGGGGGAAAATAAACTCTTCCCCCCAGATGGCATGAGACAGTTGCGGCGCGGCCTCCCACCTCTCCCACATGCGGGGCAGGCTACTGGTCGTGTGGGATTGTGATGGCGACGTCCACGCCAGCGTCAATAGGGAAGGATGTAATCTTCTTCACAAGCTCCGTCGGCGCGCGGAGCTCTACAAGACGCTTGTAGATCTTCAGCTCGTAAGTGTCCCACGTGTTGGTGCCGTTACCGCACGGCGTTTTGCGGGTGGTGACTTTCAGCGTGCGGGTCGGGAGGCGCACAGGGCCACGCAGCACCACCTTCTCGTTGCGAGCGTGCAGGAGCAGCTCCGTCATCACATTCTCCACCGCCTTTGCGTTGCGGCTCGTCATCTTCACAAGCACACGCTGCGTCTCCTGCGCGGGAGCCTGATCCTTCTTAACGTACGCCATTTGTTCGTGATCACACCTGATAGAAGCAGTACGGGAAAAGGGGGGAGAAAAAAGAAAAAGAAAAGCAGGATCTCAAGAGACAGACAGTCGCAGAAGGTGATGTGGAAGGGCA